TGAAAGAATAGCAGTTTCAAAATTCGAAAATTTGTCGCAGACATTTTTTTTACCAAATTTTGCATTTTTTTCAATTTTTTTGCTTTTTGTCTGATTAATCTGAAAAAAATTGAGCAAAGACAGTTTAAGAAAGTAAACAAAACGGTACAATCAAATTTTCAACTTCACTTCCGGTTTAAACAGGAAATCTATTTTCACTTCCGGTTGAATAACTTCCGGTGTAATTTGTAGAGGTCAAAAAATTTTATGTTAATAGGTAGACAAAGTTATAACAAAAAAACGAAGAAATAAAAAAAAAAATCCGGACCAGACGTGAAACTATAGCGACCATTTTGATTTTTCTGAAATGATTCGATTTTTATACAGACATAACGGCTTATCCGATTTAAATGATTTTGGTGTCAAATGAAAGAAGATAAAAAAAATTGAATTTTTACATAGTTTAAAGGGTCATATCTCGTGATCTTGACCTTTGATGACCTTGACCTTTATAAGGTTAAAGGTCAATGACCTATTAGTTAATACTTTGACATTTGACCTCCGACATGTACTTCCGAAAACAGCCAAATTCGCAACTTCGGACTGCTCTAGTACGTGACCTAATTAACCTAGAGGGTTAATTTTTTTCGGACCTTATGGACTTTTCATGCTCTTTCCAGTGATATATAACAATCATTTTTTGAAGCAAAACTGAAATTCGTGAAATTTTTAAATTTGAGGTATTTTTAACAATATTTCTGTCTTTTTGAGCTTGGTGTGTATATATCTTATGACCAATTTGATGTAGAACATTGAAACTTGGAACACAACAAGACAATTTGAATATGAATTAACCTATGACAAAAAAGTTGAGGTGGGCGTGGCACATCCAGGTTGAATTACTAATTGCGTACATTTTGGGGAAGGGGCTTAACTCGCATAGGATACATTTGTTCAAAAAGGAACTTTGCACACAATTACCTCATTATTTTGGCCAGTTTGTGTTAATAGGTCAATTGTTTCAGCTTTATAGTTCAAAAAAAGGAACGGGTTTTGAAATTTCCATATTTTCAATTTTCTATTTTGACCTTTATTGACATTTGTTGACCTAAATCTTTTGACCTGTATGCTGTAGAAGATTTAAATTTGAAACACAACATAACATTTAGAATATCTATTAACCTATGCAAAAGAAATTGAGGTGGGCTTGGCACATCCGGGTTAAATTACTCATTATTGACATTTTTGGCAAGGGACATAACTCGCAACGTATACATTTGTTCAAAATGGAACTTTGCATACAATTACTTCATCTGTTAAGCCACGTTGTCTAGAAGTTCCATTGTTTCAGCTTTATAGTTCAAAAAAAGGAACAGGTTTTGAAAATTCAAAATTTTCAATTTTTGACCTTGACCTATATTGACCCTGACTTTTGTAGGATCAAAGGTCATTCACATTGGCTATCTATCTATTTATACTTTTATATTTGCTGTCCTATCTCAACTTCCGGTTTAATAGTCGTATATATTTTAAAATTTTGATGACTTGTATCTTGTAACCTTGACCTTAGTTGGCCATCTCCTTTTCATTGTCAAATTTCATTGACCTTGGCTATCTTCTGATACTTTCATTTGTGAGGTCTGTCTACTTCTGGTATAACAATCTTCCAAAGAATAAACTTTAGACTGCTCTTGCACGTGATGTAATTATTGTAGAAGGCTGATTTTTTCAGAGTCTTTTCCATTTTGCTACATTTGCAAAGTCCCACTCTGTGCCACGTCTGGCTCTAGTGTATTGTTGAATTAGATGGAAGAGTCCAAAAGAAATTTATTGACTTTTCGTGCTAAAAATCTAAACAAGTAGCTCATGTTTCAACATCCATAGCAAGAGTGGTTGATGGGAGACAACTTTTAGTTTTAAAATTGACTAACTAATCAAGTAATAGACAAATCTAGTAAAAAGCACAGTGGAAACCTAAAGGCAAACTGCTCTTTGTTAAAACCATGTCTATCTATAAATAAAGTTGGAACTGTGGTTCACCTTGTCAAAATAATTTTTTATGAGGTTGTAAATTTTGACAAAAGCAAACCATGAAGATAGCGATGACCATCATTATACGCCTGCAATTGTTTTGGCAGTTAAGTCCAGGTAGATGACAAGAGCTATCAGAAAATGAAACATTTTCATACTACAAGAGCTTTATTTCACAGCCTTTTCCTTTTTTCTTCTGATTTTCGAAAAGGGTTCATTCTTAGGTTTTACGACCTAAATATATTTTAAAACTTTTTTAGAACGAGGGCAATAACACATATGTACATTTTTTTTTCCATTTTTTTGCTTTTAAATAGGGTTCATCCTTGGGTGATTAACAATTCCACCAAGTTTCTTTTCAGGAACAAGTGCAATTACTCAATATTAAATATTATTATTTCCTTAGGTAAAACTTGAACGTGTTTTCATGAATAAGGGCAATAACTGATATTAAATCTTTTCAGTCTTAGTCAATCAAGAATTAGTGTGAAAGGCAGGAGAGAAAAAACTCATGTAATAGTGACATTTTGAAGAGACATTAATGAAGTCAATGATGGTGTTTAGGGGTTGGCTTACATATAACAAATAAACTGTCAAAATAACTCAACCACAAGATTTAGAAGGTTCATTTTCACAGCATAGTTCTTTTTTATAAATAATGTCCAAGACAGACTGACAGACGAACTGTTACAGCTAAATAAGTCAATCCTTACAATGCTATGAGACATATTGTTCATTGTATATATGATTGGGCAGCCCTTAGCTGTGGTATAACTATCACTGACATTATTAGCCCATCCTCATTGAATTCATGTCATCATTGTGTAAATACAGTTCACCAACAGGTTAGCACGGGAATTAGCACAGTCATTGAAACTGGTTACAAGGTCTCTGTGTGTGCAATTTTTGAATTCTATTTCTTATATTTTTACACGCATGACAACTGAGATTGCTGAATTGTGTCTTGTCATCACAAAAGAAATTCAACATCGAATTTTCTATTGCATGTCAATGGCACTCATCTGACTTTGGGTCTAAATAAATATTTCATAACCATACACTTAATGACTTCCCTCCATAAAATATCACTTGAAAATGACCCACTCTTCAGTAAAATTCCTCCTTTGCCATCGGTGAAATATATACCATTGAAATTAAAAAAATTGTCATTTGCATATTGCCAATGACTGCCATTCTATCTAAAGCTTGGCACATAACAGGGGTCCAGGTTAAGTCTATTTAAGTGTCTGGTGACTATTGTGGTCTCAAAGGGAAGTAACTCTGGTAAGGGGATTCTAACATCCTTGCCCCACATTTGTCCATTGACATCGACATTGACAAAGAAAGAACAAAGTATGATATAAAGAGATTGACCAACTTCATGAAAAATGGCTTACATGGCAATAGAATTACCAGTACAGTGGTGTAACCTATATTCGTGCATATAAGGATTCAACACCGAATTTCATCAAAATTAAAAAAACAGATTTTTTTTTTTTTATATCTTAGATATTTCTTCAGATATTCTATAAAATAATTAAAATTGGTCTGTTCCAAGTTTCTTTATGAATGCCTCAGTTTTACCCATATTTCATGAGTAACCAACTTGACAACAGCTACGAAATGCGTCACCTATTTTTGTGTAAAATGTTTGATCTATAAATAAATTGAGAAATGAAACAATGATTTGAAAAAAAAAAATTAACTATCATAAGTAAAAACGTGGGAGTAATTCATTGCTAAAATTGTGCTGACATAGAATACACTACTTTGTCACATGACTTTGTTCACTGGAATATATTCTAGCAGTTCAGAAGACACTTGGAAATCTGAGTACAGCTGGGGATTTTAAGGAAATATGGCCGATAAGAAATGGTGACATTTGGTAATAACTGAAATCCACCATTTTGTATATATCAGAAAGAGATAATAAATTTGACATTGCTTTGAAACGACAGGAAAAATTCTGAGTAACCAACTTGACAACGGCTACAAAATGTGTCACCTATTTTGTGTAAAATGTTTGATCTATAAATAAATTGAGAAATGAAACAATGATTTGAAAAAAAGGAAATATGGCCGATAAGAAATTGTGACATTTGGTAATAACTGAAATCCAGATATTTGACATTGCTAAGAAACGACAGGAAAAATTCTGCAGGTCGACGTTGTAGATATAACCCATTTTTATTAAAACATGCCAATGCGGATGTCATGCAAGTAGCACATACATGTCAATCATTTATCATTTCCGCAGATGCACAAAATTGGGAACGCACAAAATTAGACCTGTGACCATTGATGAGATTCTCCTTTTTCCTGTTCAGGTCAGGTGCTGATTGCCAAGATGGTCTTTTCCGCCAAATAAAGAGATTCATAATTTTTCACCAAATTTTTTGATGATAGTTTTATTGTTGCTTTTCCAAATATGATGAAGAGTGGGTTGCATGCTACTTTAACAAATGATCAATATCAAACAATAATTGTAGTACCCTTCTTGTTCAGACTTGTCTACAATTAATGTCAGTTGAATGTTCTACTGCTTGACTAGTATGTTGTTTTATTTATTGAAAAGACCTACCGGTGGAGATACGCCTTCTAAAGATTTTATATTTATGCAAATGGGTAAACTGGTTTGGTGTGCTTCATGTTCACGATCGAAAGCAGCAGGTAAATGTACATATCGCTCTTGAAATTCTCTCCAAGACCGACCTGTTAAAATGCTCGCCATTGTGAAACATTTGTTTACATCCGGTTCAGATCAATTGTACTCGGTGTAACGTAAACTATGAGAAAATGAAATTTTATTCATGTTTAATAGTTTATCTTTCATATCTTAAAGTCCAATGACAAATATGAACGATTCAATCATCAAGAAACTAATATTTTATCTATTCTTACCTTCGAATTTGTTTCAATTTTCAATATTCTTAGATTGTGAAATGATGAAACGATTTTTGAATAACGCAAAGTTTAACTTATATCTGGCAGGGACCATAGACTAATATAGAGTTATATTATATATATATATATAACTCTATGCAGGGGACACAGCTCTTTATACTGATTCAGTATTCAGTATTTGTTTGTTATTCTACTTCATCTATTAATTAGGTCTTGTAGTGATTAGTGAAATTAGATTTATAATCTTAGGCGGGCCTCTTCAGCTCATCTTTGATATTCCATTGCATCGAAAATCAGCTGTCCAGGCCCTATTCCGAGAAACTCTGACCATTCTACGCAGCACAGCTGGGCTGGTAGTGGTTGGATAGGTGTCATAACTTATCCAATAATTGATAGTTGTAGAACTACCTCAACTTATAAGTCCAATGAATCAGCAGAGAAAGACTTACAGGTGGGTGGCTGGCTGGTTGGACCCCTTCAACAGTTTTAAATGTCTTATTATTTAGTTCTTTAAGGGACAGGTGTGCCATTTTTTTCAATTGTTTCTCCATCACACGTCAGTACGTCAGTCAACACGTCAAACACGTCACACGTCGATGCTACCTTATAAAATCAAGAATCATATTATTTTTAGTCACAAAACTGAATTGACAGTAGTGTAACCTATTTTCAACACCGAATTTTGTCAGATTTATAAAACAGAATTTCTTATATTTGTCTCAAAAGTTTCCTCAGATATTCTATGAAATAATTAGAAGTGGTTTGTTTCGATTTTCTGTATGAATCCCCCACTTTGGCTCAGGTTTGAGTTTTGGTGGGACAAAACTGGGTTTTGACCGGCCAGCAGACAAAACTAGTTAAAACCCAAAGCGGAAAAAACACTCTAGAAGGCACAATTCTTGACTGATTTAGTATGAATTATTGCCGTTGTTCTTGGAAATGCTCTAGAAGGCACAACTTCTTGACAGATTTTGATCCTGGTGATTGTAACTGTACTGCCAAATATTTTTATTCAAATTCAAAGCTACCAGCAGGTGTATATTACCTTGTCTGGCAAGCTATCTTAGTATCTATATGTAATTTAACTATGTATGTCTTAATATTATTTTCATTATACTATCTGTATGTACATAATGTATATATAACAATTATAATTTGGAAATTATTGTGTATGATGAAATACATTGGATTAAAGAAAAAAAAGTGTTGCTTTAGTTAGTTTTGACCACTTTTGTCCACTCAAGGGATTTTGGACAGGATGATTTTAACCAGTCAAAACACCACTCTGGACAAAACTTGCCAACCTTGCTTTTGCACATATTTCATGAGTAACCAACTCGACAACAATGCGTCACCTATTTTCGTGTACAAAGTTTGATCTATAAATAAGAAGAGAAAAACATGTGGTATGGATACCCAGTGGTATAATTAACTTCTCTTAGTATTTATCTTTAATATCAATTCATTATAACTAATGAAAACATTTGACTTACAAACTTAGATAAGTAAAACGTAAAAGTGATATATTGCTGAAAAGTCATTGTAACAACTTAAGAATACGGCCCACATTGTGTTCCATTGAATTTTTCTGCTGACACGGAATCCGCTAGTTTGTCATGTGACGTCGTTTGCTGGAATATATTGTAGCAGACAACACTTGGAATTCTGATTACAGCTCCGGGATTATAAGGAAATTCGGCTGTTAAAAAATTGTGATATTTGGTAATAACTGAAATCCGCCATCTTGTTTATGTCAAAGTATACATTAATATATTTTACCTTGCTTGAAACTACTGGATTCATTCTACTAGTATGCAGACAACCCATGTTTATTAAAACAAGCAAATGCGGCGGTTACTCGAGGTCGCACATGTAAATTATTAATCATTTCCGGAGAGGTACGCAAAATAGGTTAGCACGACCATATAGGTATTTTCTATGTCACAGAGTATCTGAAAATGACGAGTCGTCATTTTAAAATTCAAACACGGTTAATTCTGGATACTCATGATTTGAAGCCTCAAATATAGAAGTTGGGCTGTGAACACTATTACTGATTGATTTATGTAAAAAAAAATTCTGTTTCTGAGACTGAAGTATGATTGGTCACAAAGAATGGAGCATGTGTCCTTTTAATGAACACAGCCGAGTGCTGTTGCCTCCTTTGACAATTTGGTTGACCATTATTGGCTCCACCACCTATGATAGAAACAATAACAGACAACTAGCTGAAATACTTCATAGGCATTCCGAACAAAGATGTCAATAAAGAAATTAATCATTTGAGCAATATGGATAAAGATAAGAACCTTCTCATTTTTTATTCTGATCAAGATAGACAAGGTACCCTACATTTGTATTTACTTAAATGTAATTTCTTTATACTTTTCAGTGTACAACATTTCTGATGACAGTAAGACGTGAAGGAAAGGAAACAATAAGTTTGCTATGACAAATCAAAATTCCCCATCACCAACTCCAAAAAGAGCAATTTATGGATTTGTCCTGTATCTGTCAGCTCATTTAGCTTTCTGTAAGAAACTTTTTTTCTTTAAGGCTAAAAGGTATGGGGAGGGGAATTATTGTTGTTATTTCTAATAATACATGAGCTCATACTGTCAAAATCTCAATCTTCAGCAAGATATCATGGATATGTGAAATTGAAAGTAGCAACATGATTTTTATTTCTAAGATTTTATCTAAAAAATAGATACTAATGTAACCAACTGTTCTTCAAGCCCATTTTTATACGCCCACATGAAATGATGAAACTTGTTGTGAATGTTTGTTATCACCCGAGGATGAACCATATTTAAAATCAAAAAGATCAAAAAATGATTTGTATGAGTTATTGCCCTTGTTTCTTGAAAACGTGTTCAATTTTAACCTGTAAACACTCTAGAAGGCAAAATTCCAGACGGATTTTGATGAAACTTGGTGTGAGTGTTTGTAATCTAAACCCTATCGAAAATCATAAGAATTGAAAAATATTCAGTATGAGTTATTGCCCTTGTTCTTGAAAACAATTTTTAGCTCGTAAACTCTCCAGAAGGCACAAATCTTGATGGATTTAGATGAAACTTGGTATGAGTGTTAGTAATCATCCAAGGATGAACCCTATTGAATATCAGAATAATCGAAATTAATTGATATGAGTTTTTGCCCTTGTTCTTGAAAATGCGTTCAATTTTTAGCACCTAAACACTCTAGAAGGTTCAATTATTGACAGATTTTGATGAAACTTTGTGTGAGTGTTTGTTGTCACATAACGATGAAACCTATTGAAAACTGTACTGCCAAATATTTTTATTTAAAATCAAAGCTGCCAGTGGGCGTATATTACTTTGCCTGGCAAGCTATCTTTTTAGTTGTCTGAAAGCAACCGGATAAACTTAAGCTACCTTAACTTGCATTTACTTGGAAGTGGCTCAAAACCTGGCTTGAAACGTTAAGTTAGCTCCTTGTTAACATTAAACCAGAATGTCATGTCTTTGCATGCGCATTTGCCAAAACAAATTCCCGCCATTATTAACTATGTCATAATGCACATGCGTAATGGTATTATGACCTCTGAACTTCCGGATATCTTCCGAGTTAACATTGAAGCTGATTTAACTTTAATGTCCGTCTGAATGCTCACCACTAAACAGTAAACCAGGCTTAAAGAACGGTTGATAATTAAGCTGTCTGAACACAATATTTGATTTTGTTAAAAAATTTTGGCAACTTCTAAAGTTCTGTGGAAGTGTCTTACTTAGGCTTACTTAAATCAAAATAACATCCTTTTTATATAATTTTTATGCCATGGCCTAAACCTACTTCTTGCTTTACAGTGATATATGTTTTGTGGGCATTTTTACCAGATGAGTTGTTACGAGCTGCTGGGTTCACCTATTATCCTAATAAGTAAGTACTTCATGAATATTTATCATGAACTTACTTGAACATAAATAAAGTTAACTGTTGACACCAAACATTAATCTTGTATGACGTCAAGAATACACATATGGTATAAATTTGACATGACAAGTCATAGAAAAAATGAGTGTTTTCTCTAGAGTATGAGACTAAGGATGACTTAAACTTGTTTAATTCAAATGAAATTAGCTTAAAAAAGCAAACAAAATTTTAATCTAATTTTGACATTGATTTGTTTTACTTTTCAGACACTGGGCTATTACTTTTCCTTTTACATTATTTTTGGGGTTTTTACTGGCATTTCCTATATATATGATATTGTCCTATTTTAAATCAGCTCCATTGAATTCTTTAGATACAATTACAGGTATGATATTGATTATGGTTAAAGGCAAGCTGATGGCTTATTTTAATCCTTGTTGTCTATACATTTCATTATTTTAATTTTTATTAAATGCAAGCGGCTGAATTAATGCCTTCAAAATAATAAGAATTGTGAAATAATTTATGGTCCAATCGTTAGTAACGGTCAGTAATGATTACAGCAGGGGTATCTGTTAGTGAAAAACTTTAAAGGTTTGACAGCTAAGATCTGAGGCTTAAGCTGTAACAACAGTTATAGAATGAACTTTTACTGAATAGAATGACTGATTGATATGTACAATTAATGGTTTTTATTTCAGATAATTATGCAAAGGATTTAAAGACTTTTCCGATAGTTGAGGGGCAGATATCACCAATAGCAGATTTAAACATATCACATATTAATAGAAATTTATACTTAGATTACAAATTATGATAGAAAATAAGTGTAAGTCATTTGGAAAATCTTGGTTTTTATTTTGAATCACTTAATAAACAACAATTGACAAACCCAGTCAGTGATAAGTAAGAATCAATGAAGGCAGAATGAGCTGCAGAATCTCATGAAGTTAGTGGAAATATCTAATGTTTCATCTATAGGTCATTTTGTGGCCCTGTTATTTGTTTAATTGACAAATTGTCAGTATAGTCTTACATTGTATCGTAAATGATTTTTATACGCCCCATCTCTTTAAGTGCACGTAGATTTGAAGATCAAATTTGAGCTATTTTCGACCGTTGGAAGCAGAGTTATTGCCCTTGCCCCTAAATCTTGAATATGCTATTTGAAGGAATCAAATGAAATTCGGTATGTGCATACATATTCATGAAACAAAGGTCCGTCCGTCAACATTTGCTTGTAAACGCTCTAAAAACTAGATTTTTTGATGGAATTGAAATTCGGTATGTGTATACATATTCATAGAATGAAGATCAAGTTCGAATTTGAGCTATTTTTGACCGTTAGAAGCAGAGTTATTGCCCATGCATCAAAATCTTGAATATTACCATCCGCATGCCGCGGTGGGCGTATACGGCTGTGGTCCACTATCTTTTAACTACATAATTCATGGTTTTTATACATCCACATTTCTCTTAGTGGAGGATATTGAAGGCATCAAAGTCTGTCCATGATTACATTTCTTCATAAACACTCTAGAATCTATAATTTTTAGCCGATTGTAATAAATTGAGTAGGAATAGGCCTATATAATTGTAAAGCAAAGATTTTTTCATCCAAATTTCTTATGACTAATAAAAAAAATATGAAGATCAAGTGAGAGCATTTTGTAAGTATTGTGAAACACAGTACTATAATAATTTCTTTTCCAAATCTCAAATTTAAGCTTTGCGCGATACTTCTTCTAACCCAGTCATTATTATTTCTTACAATTTGTTCCATTTTATTTTCTTTTAAACTATTGTTCTGCTTATTTTATAATCTTTGTAGTAAATAATTAGTCAGAAAGTTATTTGATCTGTTGGATAACAAAATAATTCATACTTGCATGTCCTTTATTTGATATGTCATAAGTTCCATTTTTCTAGTTTTTTATATCTTTTTGTGTCATTTTACTACTGAATTGGACTATAAATATTGAATTTATCTTAATATTTGTAAGAAAATTTATAAGAAAAATCTTTAGAATATGACAATAAAGGATAATAAATGTCATTGTTTTGTGTAAAGTTATGGAAAAGAGAATGATGAATATTAGGCGTTTTTTTCCTTTTTTCTGTGTAATTTTCATAACCTTATGATGATGAATAAATAATTTTTGACATTAAATATGATTTCATATCACGCAATGTCATTCCTGAACTTTCAATCCTTCTTTTTATGTTTAAATCTTTGAACTCTTAAGACTCTTTCCACATTCAATGTGAAAGTATATTGCCCTCATGTCTCTCACCAGAGAGATACTTCAGATTTGATTTTGTTAAGTAACTAAGTGCTATTATTATGAGATACTTCAAGATACATATTTATATACATACGAATTCTGTAGTCCTATAAGTATTTCAATGTAGAGCGGTAAAAGCTAATAATCACCTGACCAGAATTGGTAATTTCTTACTTACTAATACAAGTAAGTTAAGCTCACTGTTTGATGAACTGGCTGAGTCTTGCAGGCGCGAGTTGCGCCCCCTATTTCATTATTTATTGTTTTTATACGCCCACACGTCTGCCTGCCTGCCTGCCTGACTGTCTAAGTTATTGCCGTTGTTCTTGAATTGATTGTGGACACTATAGGGAGCTGGTTTCTTGATGGATTTGACGAAACTTGTTGTGAGTGTTTCACCCAAGGATGAACCCTATTGAAAATCAGACGAATCGAACGATATTTACTATGAGTTATTGCCCTTGTTCTTGAATAGTTTGTGGACACAATAGAGAGCTGGTTTCTTGATGGATTTTGACGAGACTTGGTGTGGGTGTTCGTAATCACCCAAGGATGAACCCTATTTAAAATCAGACGAATCGAAAAATATTTATTATGAGTTATTGCCCTTGTTCTTGAATTGTTTGTGGACACGATAGAGAGCTGGTTTCTTGATGGATTTTGACGAAACTTCGTGTGAGTCTTTGTAAGCACCCACGGATGAACCTTATTGAAAAGCAGATGAATCGAAAAAATATTTACAATGAGTTATTGCCCTTGTTCTTGAATTGTTTGTGGACGCGATAGAGAGCTGGTTTCTTGATGGATTTTGACGAAAGTTGGTGTGAGTGTTTGTAACCACCCAAGGATAAATCCTATATAGCCGTCGCCCCTGTCCGTCCGTCCGTCTGTCTGTCTGTCCGTCTGTCTGTCTGTCTGTCTGTCCGTAAATATATAACTGTCTTAACACAAAGATTTGCAACTTGCTGCCACTCAAAAGATTCAATTCTACATGGATTATATGAAACTTGAGATGTTAGATTAATCCCACTTAAATAAAAAAAAAAAGCTATAAATAAAACCCATGAAATATGAAAATTTCACTCTCAGAAACATTTATTTACTGATAACTCTTGTCAATCTCCCGGACAAATTAGCTGCCATAAGCCTACAAATGTTGGCGTATCACGATTGCATCGCTATTTTATTACTTTAACAGGCTGCCACGAACTATGTCGCGAAGAATTTTCTTTAAAGGGACAGATGCGCCATTTTTTTACCAATCATATCTTAGTTTCAGAAACGGGGATTTTCTAGCTAAGCCAATCAGTAATAGTGTTCACAGCTCACCGCAGTCATTTGAGCCTTCAAGTCCATGCGTGTCCATAATTATCCGTGTTTGAATGTTAAAGACACGCTGTGATATATAGAAAAGACATATAGAAATAGTGAGTAAAATTCCTAGTTTGAAGTCTAATTAAAGAATGATGCTATTCTGAAGATTAACCTATTTACATATATTCAAGACTCCCAAAATGGCATCTGTCCCTTTAACTCATTGAGTAACTTAATTTCTATCGATTGTGAGTCAGTATCATCACCAGTTGGAACTACTAAGTCGTAACGCTACTTTAAGGAATGACACATCATTCATGAAGCTTCCAGCATCTGAGGGAGAACACTCGGGCGAAGCGTAATCAGACACCGTATTATCTGCATATCATTTTATTCCGATGTCTACGCAGATGTCAATAATATCTTTATTCTTCAAGATCAACTTCATCGTTTTTTGAATTTTAATCAGGATACACTTCGCCTAATAATACTCCTGAAATTATTACTATATATACATGTATACTAAACCTGTAACAAGATGCGACTATAATTATGAGCTATTTGAATTTAGTTCCTTTTTTCTGATATATTTCGTCTCCATTGTAATCAAAAAGGTTTTTTCCGCAGTCCAGTTCAAATTTCGTTATTTATAACCAATCAAAGCATGTTATGTAGGATTCGTTTCTTATAACATTGACGATTGTGGGATAGCTAAACTTAAGGAACAATAATAACATGAACAAAAATGTAGGCCTACAATAGTATTGTTAGTTCCTTGATTATAATAATCGCTGCATGAGAGATAATGAGATGATTAATAAAGTCAAGATATTAACGAAAGTCTATACTGGTTTTGTTGAATTGGAGGGGAAGTTTATAGAGTAGTATCGCCAAACTTTTGTGAGAGAGTCAGCATGTCGCCGAAGTGTACCAGTAAGTTTTGAGCACACCGTTGGATTAACGTTTGCCTAAATGTATAATGTTGTTTTGTAAAATGTATGCATTTCTATGTATGTAGAAAGTTTATTTGTAGATGTTTTGGAAGTATTTATTTGTACTGTTGTCCGCTAATGCTATGACATGAAGTTGAGAAAAATTCCTTGAATTGTATTCAAAACTTTCACATAAATTCATTCTTACATCTAGTCATTAATTAAGTATCCAGCACCGAGAAATATTTTCACGACATTACTGTTTACACGATTCGGGACACGAATTTGAGAAGCCTAACTGGTTTTGTTGAAGATAGCCTAATATATTATCACACTGACAATAAAACACTCAACATGATACGTAATAATTTGACACTCACAAAAAAAACATGAGAACTTCATTTTATTCTTCCATTCGTTTTCCTCCTGGCGTGGACTGAAGACAAATCTTCAGAATGAAGTCACATTTTATTGGATTACTGATTGTTCTTATAGTGATTTGTGTAACCTACATACAGTGTCAACAACAGCAGCGACAGAGTATTCAACAACTTTTAGGTGGTCAACGAAAATTAACTGACTCTTGTACATATCTTCAAACAAGAAGCAGTATTTGGGGTGAAAACAGTTCCCCATTTTATTTCAATATTACAGGATTTTATGGATATCAGATCAGAAGCGGCCAACCTCTTGAGGGTAAGCAATGAAATGAATAAAGGTCTTGGCAGAAGAATTGCTATGAAGTTGATTTTTGACAATTTGACTGATTTCCAAATTATAGTGTGAACGTATTATATTCGCATCCTGCATTTTATGCAATTTAAAATGGTTATCAATATCATTACATTTTTACAATGAAAACAGGGCATATGTCCACAAACAACATTGTCATTTTGGGCTTGGGCTTTTGGAGCCACCACAGATTTGGTATTCATAGATGCATCGATGAGATCTTGCACAACATGGAATCCGCGCTCTTTCATTGTGGGTACTGACGTTAAATGAACCAAACTAAATCAATTTTGCCTGTCGTACATGTACAGAGATTGGATAATGACGCAACATAGAGGGCCTTTGCTTGTAATTAGAGATGAGAGTTTGATTTTCGCGATTCTTTGATGAACTATCTGTGAATTATTTCCATTGAATTAGTAAAATTGCCTTGTGTCAGAGGCAACAGTTCTGATCAGAATAAGTATTGCTCTGAAAAGCTTACTGATTTTTCTATGACGTATTGCCCGGTATTTTTTTCGGTTTTTGATTTTTATTACATCCACAATTAAAGATACAGGTTTGCCATTTTCGGAGGTGGATTTAGGTAATAAATGTACAGTCTTCAGAAGTACCAGAAGTGTACGAAAATGGCATAATTCTTTCAAAAAGACCTCAAATTGGGAATTTATCTTTCTATTTCTAAATATGTCTTTTTATATGACAGTCTCGAGAAATGACGATCAAACGCGGATAGTTCTGGACACAAATGGATTAAAAGCTCAAAATTCGACGTAGAACATTATTAAATAATAGAACACAATTTTATTGAATGTGATCTCTACCCCCAAATGTCGCTAAAGGATTATTGTGAACACTATTACTGATAAGCTTAGCTAAAAAATTCCGGTTTTAAAATTGACATCAATATCATTTAGCTTATATATTTAACGTCGTTCATTTCTGCAATTCATGAAATAACCTAAAATTTATCTTTATCATTTCAGTTACCATTAAGCGCTGGTCATCCATAACACCAGACAATTTTACTGACTTTTTCATGTATGCCACCCCTACAGCACCGAGAGGAATTGCTCAAATGAACGGGCAAGGTGTTCCAGGCATGCCAGTATTATATCTAGGAGTATTTAAATTAGTACCACCATATAATACAGGGGGCAGAGGATTTACCTGTGACCCAAGAGCAATTGGATATGATGCTTTTGGAAGTGTTGAAGAGAGACGAATTCTGATTAAAAGAGCTATGGAGCCTAACAAACCGTACTGGCATAATAGAAAGCCTTATGTCCGCAAATATACTTCCGTTTTGTGGTTTCCTACAGAAATGGCGATGAATGTACCTTCTATTCAGTTTATGTAAGTAAAGTAATTCGCATCATCTTCTCTTGAAAATGTTTGATGGTCTGAACAAATTACTCTTACAAACCAACGATTTAAAAGAAAAACGGATACATAATACAGTAATGTACTTTTGCAGATTTATCAGATGAAAGTCATTAGAAGTTATAGTAGACTTCAATTTAAAGATATAATTTGTATTTTAGAGGTAAGGTCAAATCAGATGGACATTGGTATGAAATAAAATCACGAAGCTTTGTTCCATATATCCCACCAGATCCCATGTCAAGTAAGTATATACTGATTTTGTATTTTACCTACAGATCGTCCTTAAGGCTTAGCCATATCAGGACCCAAGTAAGTTATGCCAAAAAGCCTTCGAATGTGCATGTTCCTTTAGCAACGGTGCGATTATAATGATCTTCTAGCCGTTGCTCTCACCATCTCATATTCGAGTCATTAATTTTGATTGGTAGAGAGTTTACTTCCCTACTAATTATATTAATTCAAACAACATTTTGCGGAAAAATGTTTGAAGTACCAAATTTACTTTTTTTAGCTCAAATTTCATGGTTGAGTTGTTGTCATAGTGCCAAACAGCATTGATAGTTTTCAGAGCAAGAATAAAAAAAATTTGTATGCCTCCTTGAATAATATTCACATTTATTCCAAAAGACTTGCGAATCAATGATACCACAAAACAAGTCCGACTACACACGAGTTATGCCCCTCTCTCATTTTGTCGTTACCTGGAAAAATCCCAAGTTCGAAGGGATGAACCATTTGTGAGTTATTGCCCTCCCCATGACTTAAGTAGAAAATAAAAATACGTTAAATTTTGGCTTATAGACGCGATAAATGTTAATATATTTGCTGATCTTAATAAACTCTGGTACCGGTATCTATGTAAAATATTGTTGAGATCACACTAAAATTCAAATTTGGCTATCATTGGGTGAATTGTGTGTTATTCATTGCAATTCGCGGGTCAAATACTCAAATTTGACTTCAGTTCTTATATTGATAGATCAAACACAAGTTAAACAACAGGACTTAGACTAGTAAAACGCTTACAGATAGAAACTGATAGATAAAAAGTTTTTTTTGTCCGACCTTGATGATCTTGAAAAGCAACATGTAGCCTACAATAATAATGGATTTCTTGTTTTAATACACTTTCTATTGCCTAAGTTCCTTGTATTTTTATATAAGTGAAGAATAATTATCTGAATTTTCCTGACAGCTATGCACAAACTGGTTCACATTATACGTCTATATACAGACACTAGTATACCTTCTGATATGACATAAAGATTAATATATTGTCACTGGAGTAATTATTTCAAGCATAAACTCTTTCATAAACGTAAATAACACTGTCTTTACCTTACTCTTGTGGCTCACGATGTTTTATTTCTGGAATGTTTACATGATATTAAATTTACCGATCCATAAATACACGGCTTTTATAAATCATTATGCTGTGTGCAATTTTTGGCAATCTGTCTGCAATCGTATGAACCATAGAAGGAAATTGCCGAGTTTGTCGATCAAAGGCATTCCGGAAACCTTATTTTGAACCCTTCCGGCTTAACTGCAATTCTAATCTTATGGACGATGACATAATACTTATCTCAGCCGTAATAATATCAAACACATTTTTGCCCTACCTTTATATATTTTTTCTTTTTTCAGCAATGTATAGCTCTTTATCTCAAGTTTCAAGTATGTCACAGAATATGAGACAATTTGAAAGACAAGCTGATGCTGCTACTGCTGCTCTATGATGATATGGTATCTGATAAGAAATGATGAGTTTGTTGGTATCCGTGTTGATTTTGTGTTGATATTTGTAAAAACGTTCTTTGAAATTTCGTACCTATCTTATCGACCCTTTTTTACGTCTACGACACGTGTAAATAACAATGTAAAAAAGGTGTTATAGGAATCTTAGAGTTAATATGAAGGAGATTCTACAGTACATTATAGACAAATTTTACTTTCAATATATGTCGTGACCCTTTAAATTGGAGCTGATTTAACATTTCTTGTTTAAAGGCATACTACCTCTTGGAATGAATATACAATTTCTGATTTTCACATATTTGGCCAATTAGGGTAGACCTATTATATTCATCCCAGGTCCAATAGTGCCATAGCTTTACAACAGAAGCTCTGTAATCAGATGAATCTATAAAACTAAGCAATTATATCCTTAAAGCAGCGTATCTATATACGATTGAAAAACGTTGTTTTAGGGATTTATCAGATTAAATAGGGATTCTGTTGCATATTTATGACACCAGGTAGGTCCACTTATACGTATATAATCTTATTGGCCAAGTTAGAGAATTTAAATTTTATGTGCATTTTACGAGGCTTAGTACATGTATCTTCAAATCACTTTGCAAAATGAAAATTCTTTATGAAAATTCTTTGTTATGGATGCTTTGTAATCAACTGAAGAGTCAGGGACAAAGAAGTTGTGTACATGTTCAAAATCTTTATTTCATTGCCAATATTTCACCAATCTAAATAAAATGTAGATGTCGGTATTTCGTTTCGTATTTTTATTGCAGGTCGTTCACTTTAGTCGTTACTCTTGAAACGAAATAAATTGAGTTGCATCTTGATATCTGATCTGATATCGCAATGATCCCGTTTTAGCCAAAAATATTGAATTCTATAATAATATAGTATTGAATATTTTATGTAATGAAATGACTTTAAATCTTTAAACCACTCAAATGGATTGGAAGCACCAAACAAAATTCAATATTAATTCGGATTCTATTTGTCTCTGTGTAAGGTGTTCATTCAAATACCTTATCTATAATGTTATATTCACTTGCTATATACGTAAAAATTTAAGTGTTAGGTGTTATAAACTAATTGATGCACTTGTAATAAAGTTTAGTTGAAAGGTCAAATCTTGTTATCTCTGAGCTAGTCAACTCGCAAATCTATATATCACGAATGAAAATCATTTATCTTTTTCAAAAGACTGCTGAGGAAATTTGTATATTACAATATTTAGTATAAAGAAGAATGAAGTTAATTGTCATTGATATCATAAGTTGATATATCAGCCCCTAGTCACTATTTACAAGTGCAATTAACGTCAATGTTTCTTTCTTCTAGATTAAACATTGTAAAAGGTCAACATTGTTAGTAACAGAAACAAAAGTATTACATGACAATGTGGACGGTTTTTGAGTAATGTCATGTCAATTTTGACACTGGTCGGTGATGACGTGTATGTGCAATCCAGAATAAAACCATTCGGGCCATGGTAAAGAAAAGCGTAACATCATGGAGAGGATACGGGAAAGGGTGGTATTGATATTGTTGTTTGGGGTTATTGGCGTACAATGCCAAGGCCTCAGTTTCAGTCAAATGCAGAGTATGTTTAATCAGATGACTGGAGGTGGTGGTGCTGGTGGTTCTGGTAGTCCAGCAGGAATGATGGCGACTTTAGCTGCAATGGGAGGTAAACCTACAGCTGCCCCCGCGGCTCCTGCTGCTGCTAAACCAAACCCATTGTCAGAATTATTGGGAGGACGTCAGAAGTTATCCGATGCTTGTTCTTACCTCAAGAGCAGAACTAGTATTTGGGGTAAAAATAACGCTCCCTTTAAATTAGAAACCGATGGTTTTTACGGCGATGTTCGACGAGGATACCCTATTGAAGGTAAGTTTTACAGGAATTCAGTAGGGTTTACATTATTTGTCATAATGTATGAAATTCAGTCGGTTTCAGTTGGTTTGTTTGATAATAAGGAATTCGGTAGGGTTCAGATGCAGAATCTTCGATAGTTAATTGAAGGCTTGTGTACTTGTTTTTATTTCAGTTGCCATCAAACCCTGGTCTCAATTTCAACCAGATAACTTCACAGATTTTGTTATTTACGCCACTGTGGCTGGTGCAAGTGGTGTTGGTGCCTTTGAAGCTCAAGTCATGCAAGGAATGCCTGGTCCAACTCTACTTGGTGTATTCAAAGTTGTCAATGATTACGCTGCTGGTGCTAGAGGATTTATGTGTGATCCCAGAGCCATGGGTCCTGATGCTTTTGGCAGTGCTGAAGAGCGAAGAATCTTGATCAACCGTGCCTTAAAACCGGAAAACCAATACTGGAAAACAAGACAGCCCGCTATAAGACAATATGCTGCAGCTTTATGGTACCCAACTGAGATGGCAATGGGTGCTGCTAACATCCGATTTACGTGAGTATTTCCACTTTTCTATTACTTTGTTCTTAAAATCAGCTTGAGAAATGGTTTGTCATCCGCCAGCTCTCTGAGTGATTCCGTCAATCCACAGGGTTAAAGTCCCTCAACTGAAGAGATCATTCATAAATTTTGTTGTCGTTCACACATTTAAAGCTATTCATGGCGAGATCGTTCTTTTATTGCGAACTAGTAATCGACGAAAATAATCCTTGCAGCTGTGTGTTGTTTTTCTGATAATAATAAGTTGTGTTGGAAGGACACCACTTAATTTATAATTAAAGTTTAAACCTGTATTAAAAAAAGACTCCTCATATTTTATATTTATAGCGTTAGGCGACTTTCATTGTTAACATGACAAATACAGGAAATCTCATGTCAACAACATAAGGCTTCTCTGATTCTTTCTAAAGCCTTAAAAATTCTTATTTACAGAGCTAAGGTGAAATCTGATGGTCATTGGTATGAGCTGAAATCTAAAGTACTGACCCCTTACAATCCACCAGATCCATGGCAATGTAAGTATTTATCAACACTTTGTCACTGTTTGACCCAGTTTATGTTTGGAACGAAATTGAAACACGCAATAAATCAGTCCGGAGTCAAAATCCAAAATTATTGGGCCAATTTAAGAGCTATACATCCTTAGTATCGTGTTATGATAATCCAAATATAGTAGTGATGGACATCGGTCGGACATGAGTAGAGGGTGATAGATGGTAAATGTAAGTTTAAAGATGTCCATACGTCACATGTCTCAATGATAAATGTTCGACATAGTTATTGTCTTCCCTTCATCTTGTCATGTGTCAGTTATATATAGAAGTACATTAATTTACAGATTGTCCATTGAAATTACAAAGCCTGAAGGGATGAGACAAGGCTCACTATTTGGACCATACTTATTCAACTTTTATATTAATAGACTTACTGAACATTGATTTATTTTAGTGTTGTTTTTGATATATTTATTCTTTGTTTCTTGATATCATACATATTGAAGTGGTGTATAAATATGAATTTCTTTAAATTTCAGCAATGGCCGCCTCCATTTCACAATACCAAAGAATGCAACAACATATGAGACAATTGGAAAGACAAGCAAAAGGTCCACCTCCGTAAGAAGACTACTACGCTGCATCCTAGCTAATCTCTAAGCTTGTTGATAAAGTTACTAGTTCAGTATAATTTAAATATTCTTTCCTTTTCCTTCAATTCTTCAAAACCTTCATCAAACAAATAACAAAATAGAAGCACCAGATCTATTTAGTAAGCGAATACCTATCATGCAGTTGAAAGATGTTGCTACCGGCGGTTAAAATTTGTTTGCAACAACTATATCTATCCCTTTTCCATGATAACTGAAAGTTAAATGGATGTTCCAGAGGCCCTAAACAAACTTGGTTTGAATTTAAAGTCAATATAAATATTGTGAGATCACGAAACGTTAATGTCAAACCTTTATATCTTGGTCTTATATATTGAATTTTATAATCTGACTTACATCGGTGGTTGTTCATGAATTTTATTGTTATATTAATAAATGTTTTTAAAAAGTTGATATTTGTTTTAATTCTGGTAGAATAGAATATGCAGTAGACAACGACCGGGATCATTTATTTATTTATTAATATTTATCGATAGTAATTCCATGTACAAATTTTATGATCCATGTTTGTAGAATATTTCTCACATGGACCTTTGTCTTAGAATATAAGAACCGTAAATTCAATAATGCAACGAAGTATCATTTCATTATATAATTCTTTGACGAAATTCTCTGTATTGGCCCTTTATTACGCTTCAAAGCATTTTTGACCAGAATTCCTACATCTTTAAAATGTCGTCCACCTAGCCTACCACTATCAGCAGTGACAGCAGTTTTCGGTCTATCAACCATGGCCTGAAATATACCAACAAATCAGCAATGTTTTAAGACATATATAGCCCTATTACCCTGACACAAACTGACATTCTCGTCAATTATTTCTGATAACAGCCATTTGAACTACCATTAATCACACATATTAATCCTACATGCAAACATTGAAGATAATTTTATCAACATCCGTTCATGTCAATGAAAATATGAGATAACTGTGTTTCCGTTATTTTATATTACCTAACTGGTCAAAATCAAGCCTACTGAACGGCCCTTAAAAATGTTTCTAGTTCAAGGGGGGTAATAATAAAAAGGAAATCTTTTTTTTATGTTTTTTGAAGAAATTTAGGGAAATAAGGCTACCGTTCATAATTTTCGCTACCAGTCTTTAAAACGAAATTTAGCATATTTGATGACAATTTACAATCTTAGTGTATCATTATAGAGTTTCTTTAAACTTTGCGACAACCCCTTAAAACCATATTCTTACAATGTATTAACAATGTCATATAATATCAAACTGAATTAGGTGTGGGTTATATCACAGACGAATGCATTCAACTGAGAATTATGATATAGGTCAATAAAGCGCACTTTTCTCAAATGCACATTTTCTTAAAACGAAGTAGCCTACATGTTCGATCTGATTAGCATGCTTAGCATACATCGCAAAATATTTTGAGGTCGTTTCCTGTCGTTTTCCGGTTGTTTCTCGTTTTCGTTAGTCGTTTCCTGGTGGATTTTGGTCGTTTCTTGGTCGTTTCTGGTTGGTTCATGTTTAAGTAAGTACGCTCACGCTTCTATAATAAGACGTTCACCCATCAAATTGATGACGAGAATATCGATTGTTGCTGGAATTACTATTGCTATAACTAGATGGAAGTTTAGATATATGTAAGGAATATTTGACAACTACATTCATTAAAGGTTCATAAGGATCTCTAGTTGGAAAACATCTGATCCATCTATAGATCTAAATGTAAAATTCCATATTAGGCTACAAATTAAACTATGGTAATTTAATGCTGAAATATAAGCAGAATAATCGAAACTAGATGTTTACCCGAAAATTTGCAGGTAATATTGATGATGAACTACTCTCTTGATTTGGTCGAGATAAGACAAACGAGGAATGAGGACGTCTGGAAATAGTAGCAAATCTGATCACATCTTCGTCTGATCCTTTTCTTATGACCTGGAAATAAATTATGAACACAATGGTAGTTCATTAAAATAAGAATTGTATTTGTATTGAACAGGCGGGCACAACATTCTTACCATGTGCCATATACATCTACTATCTATCATGACATTTTCATATTGGGAACCTACGCCCACAGGTTTTGACGCTTCATCTACACCCACATGCAAATAATATGTGACGTATGTCACGTTTGACGTATGTCACGTTCGTCAACATTTCTTACTTTCTTAAAAGAGGCTACTAAAATATTATATTTCTATATCGCGCTACAATTGATGTACTCGAGCTCTATTTTAGAAGTAAGAGTATTTTGTAATATTGTAAAAGAGACTATGCAATCTTCATCCGATATTGATGGAACGGTAACTTATGTATATTTGCGATCTTCAGTTTTAGAATAATATCGATAAAAATAAGGTGAATTTGTTTTTTTTTTCTTTAGATTATTTTATATTCAGTGTTCATATAGCACTGGACCAGCTTTGTGTTCATCGTTACATTGTTTAGAGAGTTCATTACCTTCTGAATCTGTTCAGTAACTTTTTCCTGTTCTATAAATTTCTTTTTTATCCACGGAATGGTCATCTGTCTTGAGAAAACGACATTATTAGCTACATCAACACATTCTACAGCTTTTTTAAACTTTTCGACAGGATCACCTTGATAAGGTTCTTTCTGATGATTGTTACCTTCATCATCCTCGTCTGTTTTAACCCAATTCTCCAGATACTGTTTTCTTTCGGGATCAGCTATGATATCCTCGGGATCCGAGTCACTCTCCGATTCACTTTTATCATCGATAACAAAGTTGCCATATGATAATTTTCTATTTTCATTGGACTGTGCAGTTAATTTTTTATTCATTTCCTTTTTCTCTTTATTATAGTTCATAATCTTCATTTTTCGTCTGAGTATTGCAAGTCGATATTTACTGGCAGCAATAAACATTTTAGCATTTTCATTTTCTTCGTGAACAGACGTGTGCCATCTAAAACAACAAATAAACTTGAATGTATAGACATGCCTAGATCGATGTGGCAAAATCTTGTATATTATTCAACTATAGGCTACATACTGTCCATATGATCTAAATGAATGAAACATTTAATTGAATGTATGTTCTTTTATATGTTATACATCCGTATCCGTAATCGGTGTCAATATATATTCAGATTCTAAATCTGTTCAGTTTCAATTTAAGTGATTGGTGACATCACTAATAGCGAAGGGCCTTATGAGCTTAAGCATATTTTGCGCTTAGTGACGTCATCAAACACAGGAACCACAGATGTCTGATTGAAAATTGGAATGGTGCAAATTGATGCTATCAGTGTCCCATATACACATACAAAATTTATTAAACCTCTTTACAATCCCTTTAAAGATGGGTTCCCTTATTATCATTAATGGAAATGCTAATACTTATATGAATAGAAAGTAGAGGTGTTCTAAATGACTTGGACAAATACCAGTTTGTCTCACATGTCCATAATTAATTCATAGATAAATTAGAAGAGAATTATCAGCAGAATTCCAATGAGTGACCGATCAAGAAAGGTCAAAAAGTGGTTTGTTTATCAAGACTGTACATCCATGTAACATGGACATTTATGAATGGTTAAAACTCTTAATTAAATACAATCAGAACATAATGATATGATTAAGAATAAACGATAATTCATTATAAACACCAATTAATCAAACAGTTGGCTTAATCTGACGCTAAAATATAAGGAAACCCATCTTTAAGGCATGTTTGTGTTTTTTTTTTCTTGTGATCAAAATTTGTTTCAGGGTTGCTTCCCTTGAAAATGAAAAAAAAAGAAGGAAATTTTGACCTCCCTTGAACTAAAAAGATTTTAAACGATAGTATCTTTCACTTGGTTTTGAGCAAAGTTGATGTGAAATCGTATATTTGTATGGAATTCTATCATCAAAAGTTTTTTTACATTTAGTATTTAAACAAGGAATAATTCAAACAATGTGTTTTAGGCTTATATATATCAGGTCAAGATGGGATCTAAGTGATTTATCATCTTAACAGGATAATGTTGTCAAATAAATATTTACTTCTTCTAATGCCTATAAATGTTTTACTACAAATCATGTATATACGACACGTTTTCTGCTGACAGTTTGTCAATGTGGATTTGGAATATCTCTCTAATACTAGGCAATAGTATTCCTACATAAACTAGGCACCAGAAAGGGGGAAAGATGGTTTTCGAGAACTCCATGATCATAGCAAGGATTGTAAGAAAACGAAATCTCGGGAAGAAATGGAATCGAGGATCTGATGAATCAGTGGATAGGGTAGTAATAGAAAGTAAAGTACAAAAACCTACTCTTCATTAAAATCTCCACTGTCACCAGTTTGTATCTTCTCAGATTGTTTTTCAGCAAGTTCCTTCGCCTTTCGTACAATATCTTCCGTTTTCATAGTGGCTAAAACACCACTTTTCTGACAAAATGAATAATATAGTATAAGAGAAAAAAATTCAATACATGTGATTATTTCTGCTGCTATTTCAGCAAACAATTTCAGAACCAAATAGAGATATAGGTGCGTTGATGTAAAAGTAAATGGATACAATATACGGACATTGTGTCAAAATGTCATTACACTGCTTATGAAACATACAAAATAGTGTACTTACAGTAAATCCAGAATTCTCTTTTCCATTTTCTTCCCAAGCCATTCTCATCTGACGTCCCATATCAGAGTTCTGAGATAGAAGTCTTGCTAATTGTTTTTCATGTGATTCGCTGATTTCTTCTTTCTAAAATTAAAGTGTAAAGAAATAATGAGTAAACGAAGGTTTAACGAACGGTTTTACTACAGCCTGTTCTATTTATTCAGCGTCTCGACAGTTTGTAGCAGATTCACTTCCAGAGGACAGAAAATGGCTGGCCAAAGCGCCATCAAGCGATGGATGTGACTGTCGGACAGTTTCTTATCTTCTACATGAAAGAAGATAGCTTGCCAGGCATGGTAGCCTAATAAACGCCCACTAGCAGCTTTGATTTTAAACAAAAATATTTGGCAAAAACCTTCAACCTTCAGCCTTAGACTTCTTTTGAACTTTTTGGGGCGATACTGAATAATATTACCAAGTTTCTTCAAAATCCGTCATTAATTGTGGCTTCTAGAGCGTTTACGAGCTAAAAATTGAACACGTTCTCAAGAACAAGGGCAATAACTCATACTAAATATTTTTCAATTATTCTGATTTTCGACAGGGTTCATCCTAAGTAGGTGATTACAAACACTCACACCAAGTTTCTTCAAAATCTGTCATCAGTTGAACCTTCTAGAGCGTCTACGAGCTAAAAATTAAACGCGTTTTCAAGGGCAATAACTCCTACTAAATATTTTTCTGATTTTCGATAGGAATCATTACAAGCAACCATACGAAGTTTGGTCGAAATCAGTCAAGAATTGTGCCTTGTAGAGTATTTACGAGCAATTAATTGTGGACTGACGGACATACATGGGTGATGGCAATATATGCTCCCCATTTCATGTGTAAATTCCAAATAAAAGTGAGAGTTGAACAAAAACAACATAAAAGTGATTAATGATGATCTCCCTTGTAAAATACTATGATGCTTTGAGAGGATGAAGATATGAGGCTTTAAATAATCCAAAATTAAAAGATAGCTTGTCAGGCAAGGTTATATACGCCCACTGGCAGCCTTGATTTTAATTAAAAAAATATTTGGCAGTACAGTAAAAATTACCAGTTTGAAATATTCAACCTTCAAGCATCACGTCTTTTGAACTTTTTGAGTCGATACTAAATAATATTATTGTTTCATCAAAATCTGTCAAGAATTGGGCCTTCTAGAGTGTTTACGTGCTACAAATTGAACACATTTTCAAGAACAAGAGCAATAACTCATACCAATTATTTTTCGATTTTTCTTATTTTCAATAGGGTTCATCCTTAGGTGACAACAAACACTCTCATCAAGTTTCGTTAATATCTGTCAATAATTGAGCCTTCTAGAGCGTTAACGAGCTAAAAATTGAAAGCGTTTTCAATAACAAAGGCAATAACTCATATTAATTATTTTTCGATTATTCTGATTTTCAATAGGGTTTATCCTTGGGTGATTATTAACACTCATACCAAGTTTCATCTAAATCCGTCACGATTTGTGCCTTTTGGAGTGTTTACGAGCTAAAAAATGAACGCGTTTTCAAGAACAAGGGCAATAACTCATACCAATTATTTTTCGATTTTTCTGTTTTTGAATAGGGTTCATCCTTAGGTGACAACAAACACTCACATCAAGTTTCGTCAATATATGTTAATAATTGAGCCTTCTAGAGCGTTAACGATCTAAAAATTGAACGCGTTTTCAAGAACAAGGGCAATAACTCATACTCAATATTTTTCTGATTTTCGATAGGGTTTGTCCTTGGGTGATTACAAACACTCGCACCAAGTTTCGTCAAGATCTGTCCAGAAGTGTGCCTTCTATAGAGTCAGGCCCGTACACAGACATTATTGTCCGGAGGCAAGTGATATATTCGGAGGGGCAATGGAGGAGTGGGGGTGGTCGATCGCAGGAAGAGGTGAAACATTCAACTAAGATGTCCTGGAGCATCAAACTGTTACTATCACTTTTTCGAATAAAAAAAAACAAAACAAAAATCACCAGCAAGATGCGTTCATAATTCACAATCGTTGGTGGATGGAGGCGAGGACAATATTCTTTCCCATGTATTATATTGTCGAGCAGAAATCTGTGTACATGATAAGAGTGTATTACCTCGAATTGAGTCTGTTTTACAGGACACCTGACTTGTTTGAAAGAATCGTTCATGTCTGCAGCATTTTCTACAAAATAAATGGATTTTTCCAGTTCAAGTCCAAAAACATTATTGTGGTTGGAAGTGTTATGTTGTGGATGTCGCTAGCGAGGAAGGGCATGTTCACTCTTACGGAATACATGTACATAATGATATTAGGTTTGTCAACTCGGCATCCAACTCGAAGGGTCTTCATATATAGCTAATATTGTTTGTACCAGTCAGAGTAATGTGTATATATAATATGAATGCGTTTTGTGCATGAAAACATGAATTTCGCTCATATTGACATACCCCTATCCAGATCGTTGTTATAACCTCTTTTGGCACCCAAAGTAATATGGACTGTACGTGGTCGACGTTGAAGTTTCGTTCTGGTAGATGAAGTAGATGAACTGGTATGCTTGGCCGATTGTGATCTTGGTTTAAACTTTTCAAATTTAGCTCCCTTTTCTATAAACCTCAGTAGATTCTCGTTGTATTGCAGCCTACAGGGTCATAAAAAAACGTATTAAAATGAAGAATTTTCGATAAGCTTTCTTTTAATACAGTTAACCTCTTCGTTTATGAAAACAGCTATGGTGCACGGAGTTTTTACTTCAAACAACTATCATTGGCAAAAAATCAATAAAAAAATATTCATGAAATGTTGGATACCCTGTAACAACTATACAATTTTTAATTTGATCTGAATAGAATTGCCAAATGTAGTGAAAATAAAATCATATAAACATATTACTTTGATGACGGTGCTCTCTCCACAACTCGTCTTGTTTCAGGAACATAAAGATATTTTAGTTTACCATTCTCTTCTAACGCTGATTTGACTTGTTTGTGTTTATAATAATTCCACATACATGATCTATGTCCTAATTCTAATAAACTAACTTCTTCTGGATATTCGTTTCGCTGTTCTTTTATGTGATTATATAGATATTCTTTCTGAACTATTTCAAACGCTGATCTAAAACAGAAACTGGAGTTGTAACTAATTTTATTCTATTTAATTTAATCAATTGTTGTCTCTAGCTTAAATGTAAGACGAGCAAAGTGTGCCCTAGTGCTAGTAATCCTAGTGACCTAATGACTTAGAAGCAGAGGCGAAGGCAGAGCAATAATAATATTTTTTTTTTTAGAGGACCGTATCCCTTTAATGAAGAAACACCATACCGCACCTGTGTAATTTATAACAAACAGTTTGTGATGTAGCCATAACTTCACAATAACTTCCTTTTTTTTCTAATATACATTCTTCACCAAAAAAATCTCCTTGAAAGAGAAATAACAACCAATAAAACTAAAAATCTAAAGAACTGTCAATTACAACATATTCCTTATCCGTGTGATTTGTTGTAACAATTGTGATATTTGCTGGAAGCGGCTTTCATAACATAACCTGTTTTGTGCAGAATCGATTGTTAAAACCTTACAGCTGTTCATTTCAATCGTTCATTACATCCCTGATCTATTCAAACTTTTATAGATGACAATGATGTGATTTTTTTTACTGGTTCGAATCTCGAGTTATTTATTGGTAATATGATACTTGTTTATCAGATATCTGATATGTAATATTGTAATAATTGTATATTATTGATTTGAAGAAATCGGAATTTACCTCCACAGTTGACACCAACAGCCACCTTAATTCTCTTATTGGACTCTGGTATAGATATATATCGCACTAGTTGGCACCTCCCTGTTAATATATACAGAATATACAAAATAGTAGAATAGCCCGTCTTCACGTATAATTGAAATCAGTATGGAAGGTGTATGCTACCTTATGCCAGGGAGACTAATTCCCAGTTGATCAATAGGCTACGCATGATCAATATCATCTCAACCAATTCTGGGGTCGATCCTGTAGTACCTATGTATTGAGCCACTGTATCTAAAGATAGCTTGCCAGACAACATAATATACGCCCCCTGGCAGCTTTCATTTTAAATAAAAATATTTGGCAGTACATTAACAATTATACCAGTATGAAATATTCAACCTTTAGAATTTAGAACTTTTTGAGACGATACCGAATAATATTACCAAGTGTCATCAAAATTGGGCCTTCTAGAGTGTTTACAGGCTAAAACTTGAAGGCGTTTTTAAGAACACGGGCAATAATATTTTTCGATTTTTCTGATTTTCGTTGGGTTCATATTTGGGTGATTACATACACTCACACCAAGTTTCGTCAAAATCCATCAAGAATTACGCCTTCTAGAGTGTTTACGTGCTACAAATTGAACGCATTTTCAGGAACAAGGGAAATAACTCATACCAATTATTTTTCGATGTTTCAATAGGGTTCATCTTTAGGTGACAACAAATACTCACATTAAGTTTCGTCAATATCTGAGTGTTTACGAGCAATTGTGGACGGACCTACGTACGGACAAACAGGGTGACGACAATATACGCCCCCATTTCATGTGAGCGTATAAAAATGGACAAAAAAGATGGAAAAATTTCTCACCTGATACTAAAAGAAACATTTCTTCAGATATATAGTCTTGTTCTAGTATAATCTTATTACTAGAATATTCCTGCTTAGTTAGTTTATCTAGAATCTTCTCAATAATATCATCAGGTAATGGTATTTTACAAGCTGGCCCACTTAGAAACTTTCTTTTTTCCTCTGAAAGTAGTTCTACTAGTGTATGAACTTCCTTATGGAATTTATATCTGTTGATTCTGAGTATATGTGTAGGTTCTCTTGAATAGATGGTGGCGGGTGGAGCAAGATCATCATCAACACCGTCTGGAGAAACAAGACCTATATATTCAGCAGCACCATGACTATAAAGAATATTCGGTTGGTAGACACTCCGGCTCTTTCCGTTTTTTTTCATATCATACGTCACTTCCACAGCACCGTTGATTATGTAGTAGCAAGAGCAATCCATGTCCTCGGTAGAGTTAGTGATATACTCACTACTTGTATATGATTCATAACTAACTACACCGCTCAACGCTTCCTTCACATGGTCCAAACCACGATGGACAAGTTTCAACCCTTCTACAACACTGCACATAACACGAAGTTCTAACTTTGTTAAAGCTCTCCTGGTGTCCTTAAAAACATGCTTCGCATTATGGTCCATGATTTTTCTTGCTTCTTTCGTAATGACAACTGAACTACTGGAGATAAAATGTCTCTTATTAAAAACTGATGGTGTTTCTGTGTTCTCATCATTTTCTTTATGTCGTCTTTGCGTAAATGTCTCGTTGAAATCATGCGTTGCTTTGGCAGCTTTTACTACTTTATCCATTCGTCTGAAACAAGAACAATACAATATTGATGCTATATTTTCACTCAGGTGTTCTCCTAAAATATGAAATTCTGTTTATGATGTGGATCTATGTGGAACTGTATATAGCTGACATTTAAATGGTGGCTGTACATTTATGATTTCTATTGACAACCTTCTACTTTTTAAAAAGACTGAAAACAATACCTACTATGCCAGCAACATTATAAGAAATACGACTCAAAGGCTATTGCATTTGACCCCAATCAGCTCGAACCTATTTCTATGCAAAATTAACGGGAACATAATCTGCTATATTCGTGAGAAAGAAAATAAAACTAAAGTCTATCTATTATACGTTAATTTTGTCTGGCTGATTGATCAAGTTATGAACAATAAATGAGATTGTGTTTTAACAATGACTCTATAGTTAATAGTTTATTGTGGTTGGAGGTCTATTGGTTTAAGGGATCTGGTTTCACTCGAGTTTTTACTGTAGATTACAATCAATATAGGTCTCGCGGTTTGAAAACCTGCTGTACTGGACATGGTTTTAATGTAATGTCCTTATCAAAAGTAAAACAATTTATACAAACTGATTTGACTACATTAGAATTCAGTATAAGGTCTGCCGGATCATTCTCCATAACTATTCAATATCAACAAGTTAATTTTTTCTGTTGTTGATGGCGGGGTGGGGCGGGTTTTTGGGGTTTAATAAAATTTTGGACATAGACAACAGAAACCACACAAAAAGGAGGGGGGAGGGGGGGGGGGGGTCAATGCTAGAAACAAACATGACACTTCCTTAATGGGATGTTTAACAGCTATGTACCCTGCCGTCCATTAGAATTTTGTCAATCCCAAACAGTCACAGAATTTATGAGATACAGAAATCAAATAGTGATCATATTTTCTGTAGTATAATACATGACGTCGTGTGTAACATGTAGATATTAAGTACCCACCCGTCAATACACATTTGAACAAACATAGAGTTGTTATTTGTATTACAGATATAAAAATATGATAATCTCAAACTTACATTCAATAGTTAAAAATCAATTTTTCTTCTTAAAATCACTTTCATTCAGAGACACCTCGTCTGATATCAAATTTCACTATAATCATCAAAGTTCTAATAATTCATCAATAATTATTGATATTCGTAGGGTAAGCTAATCGCAGTTTTAATTCCAGTTCACAAAAGTACTAGTAACACCACCGATGTGTATTGTATCCCTCATAAAGAACACAACTCTATA